GTCCTTATTCAGCTCACCAGGTACCTGACTTGTCAGTAGTTAATCATGGATAAGAAGAGAGACTCATTGGTTCAGCCTCTTAAGTATGATCCAAATTATTCCTATTCAAGGACAGTTTAAATAGTTCTAATTCTGATGTCACTATTCTTTTGTTTGTTTACTATCACAGCAATTATGTTCGCTCTTTTTCACTGAAATGGACAATGCAAGTACGTTAATATGAAGTTACAACAGCATTAATGTATAAACTAAAACAAACAAACAAAAATACTATTAAAAATAATTTCCAACAGCCAAATTAAAACAGAATACATATGAGAGCAGAAGCCAGCTATTCTATGTTGTGGAATCATACCTGATTCAAACAGAAAAAGAAATGATTTGCAATAGCATTGGACATAGTACTGTAGAGAGGAATAAGGCAAAGAGAAATGGATGAAAGTAGTTTGGAATAGCTCTCCCTGTAATACTCATTGCCATTTTTTTTCAGAGAGGTTTAACAACCAGCGTCCCTTTTAGAAGTTTCAGCCACTATTTAGGACTCACCCTAATGAAGCTTGCCAACCAAAGGAGGGAAGACAGAATTTCAGCCCTTAAATGCCTCCACAAATAGAGAAATCCTGGAGCTACATGCTCCGAGCATCAGCAGGATCTAATCCCCTCCTCAGCTGGACACTATGAGTCAGAGGCAGTCTTCAAGCCTTGTGCTGGAAGAGTTAAATTCTGGCAATGGGGCGCTGAGTTCAAGTTCACAGGAATTTTGTAACCTCAATCCTTTCAGGTAGAAATTGTTATATGGACACAAGCCTTCCTTTCTTTCAGTGTAGTCTTCTCTTTATGATGGACCACTAAATCCCCCAATTCATTTTGTTCCTACTACTTCAAGAATTAATATTAAAAAAAAATGAAAATCGATCTCTAAAGAATCTGAATCAACCTAGAGAGCTTTGACTTATCTTCAAATATTTTCTTAATGTGATCCTCACTAAAAGCTTTGCAGAATGATCTTAATTTGACATACTAGATTTCAACCTACCTCTACAGACTTCACTGTAGAAACGAGTTTATCCTCTTTCCTAAGAAGAATTTGAATTGAAAAGTAGCAATACACTGCACTTGTTTGTATTTTTTCATTTAAGTTCCCAAAACATGCTCAAATGGAGGAAAAGGAAACAATTTTTGAACTGAGAAAATTCCAGATTCCCAGTCCCTTTAGCAAATGCAAAACTGTTCTCCCCGTATTGTACACCATGAAAGTATCAGAAGCTCTGCTTAGAAAACGTGAGAAAATCTGTTTTCATATGCTAAGCTAGGCTCATTGCCCATGGATTGCTGACAAGGTTTTGGATGTGTAGCATGTCTGGAGTAAGGTGCTCAAGTAAATAGTCTTAAAAAAACTAATTTAAATAAGGTGTTAACAGTGGTTAAATAAATAGCATAAAACATCATAAATAATAAATACTAAATAATGAAAATGCTCATTAAATTAACCCAATAGGTATCCAGGGAAGGAGGTGTTCTATTTAATATGAATGATTTCCACTTCTGTTTTGTTGATGGAAATGTTGTAAGTTCAATTTACAGTTATTTCTAATTGTTTAAAGGGTTAAATGAATTAGATGCACTTACTCATGGAAACTGTTTAAAAATTAGCATTGTACCTCATAAGATGACAGAGGTACACTATGTGTCTTGTGATGATAACACTGCACAGCAATGCCCTATGCATGCTGGAGAACACATTGTACTTACTTTGAGCAGCTCTGCCCAGACTGAACTGGCACCTGGACTACTTCCATTTTGTAAGGAGAGGGGCATGGAATTGTGCTATTGTCTTTCCCTGCATACAAAGTATATTTAAAAATTCACAACAATTATTATGTAATTGCTGTTTCCTTAAAAGGCTTGCTCAAGAGTATCTTTAAACAAATAGATCTTCTAAATCAAGGCTATCAAGGGTACAGTCCCAAATTTTACCAAGACCAAAGAAATAAGCTGAGAATGTAAATGTTTATTACAAAATTGTTTTTTCCCCTCAAGCCATAGAGAGCAGGATTCACCTCATCTCACTTCAGACCTCTACATCATAGGCATTAGCACCCACATCTCTTATAGTCAATGGAGAAAAAAACTGTCATCTGACATATTTTAAATGTCTACTTTAAGAAGAGATGAATTACATCCTGAAATTATTTACTCTACTTCTCTCTGCTTATTGTAAAAACAATCTGGATAATTAATGGAGACAATCTATACTGCCGTTATCTACTTTTGATATGATGAATTCTACCTAGCATAAGTAGTAAGACTTGCATCTCAGTATTGGGCTCTCCTGAGAAGATGCAGGGAGGGAGCCTAAGAGAAACAGCCCAGTGCTACATCTCTCACTTGCCCCCTCATTTAGTTCCATCCCACCTATAGTCTGCCCTTAGAGTGCTACAGATCTCAACTGCAACACTCAAAATCAATTTAACAGCAACATAACCTACTATGAATTGTCAAGGTGACTTAGCAATTAACTTCTCTTCCAAGCAACTCCTGGCTAGCAAACCTGCCAAAGAATTAAGTAAAAACCAATAAACAAAGAGGAATCACATGGCTTACAAGCAAATGGACTATGTAAGCTGATGTTTAGTCCAGGAAACAACCTCCTAACAAGCTTTTGAGAGGGCACCTATCCAACATAGACAATGTTTCACACTGAAGTTGATGATGTTCCTCAGGCAATGAGAAATGCACAAGCAGTCTAGCTAACAATCTAGGAGAAGAAATGGTCCTCTCTGTCCCAAGTACATCAATTAGACTCACCATATCCACATCAATATCATTTGTTCCATGCAAATATAAGGATAAATAAAAAAACCAAACTCCTGAAGAACTAAGGAAAAGTAGCTTACACTGGCAAGAATTTTCAAGTGAAGATAGGGAACGATCACAGGGAAATAATTCAGCTCGCATGAACAAAATAATCATTAAAACACCTATTAGCATACATGTCTAGGAAAGAACATAAAAAAGAAACTTGTAGGGTTCAGCACCACGTATGAGAGAACTGGAGAGTGAACAAGAAAACAAATCTGCAGTCTATTCTAAGACAGCATTTCCCTGGCATCAGTAAAGCTACTGGATAGTGATTCAACTGAAACATAAAGTGCCTCTTAAATTTTTTACTAGAGAGCAGGACACTTCCCAGTAACACATAGGCACATTCTCCAAATAGGGACAAAAATGAGCTGGTATGATTCCTCTTTCTGTGTCCTGATTTTGAAAGGAATTTAAATATTATAAACTCCTACAAATAACTATTTTGTTTATCTTATTCAGCAATGGTTCAATGTTAGCTTTTATATTAAGCAAAGATTTTTATACAAATTTTGTTTTCTGAAGCCAGACTTGCAGTTAACCCTTAGGGAACAAGATGGTATTCTTCCTTTCACAATTCTAACATCTCTTCCACCATCGGTGTACCCCTAAAGTGAACATACACTTTTCCTATAGACAGTGACAAATGCAACTCTTTAAAATTCAATTGTATCTCTCAGTCCCGGTATCAACACATTTAAATGTTGATTAAACTCATGAAAGTCCAACAGAAACTGCACTATGATATTTGCAAAAGCATTTACAGGCATTTTTTTCCTATGAGGGAAAAAAGCCTTCAGTTTTGCCATCTAATAGCATGGCAATCAGCTGATAGTCCAAACTTAAGGAAATGGTTGGGAACACCATAGTCCAAAATGAAATACTGAAATCCAAAAACAGTTCCATGAAAATGATTTCAAAGTCAGAAGCGGCAACAGAATCGCATGTCAACAGTGCCTCTCATCTACAGCCCCCGAAGTAATGCCTCCTATTTTATTATGTTGGCCAACAATGTCAGAGGTGGATATTGGTAGTATGGTAGCCGAGGCTGAACTTCATTGCCAATAACCTGTTACATGTTGTTGCTGTGTGACAGATAGCAGCAGAGGGCCAGTCTGACAAAATGGAGTATGACATGGAAGTGCAGATGAAACAAAACTGTATCACTAAATTCTACCATGTGGGAAAAAAAAATAAATAAATAAAAATAAAAATAAACCAACAAAACCAAAAAACCATCACCCACTGACATTCATCAACGCTTGCTGAACATTTATGGAGACCAGACAGTGCATGGGTGGTGCATTTCAGCAGAGGTGTCAGAGACTGCAGGTCACCTCCACTGGTGAAAATTGTTATGAGCATGGCACGAAGGCTCTTGTTCATTACCAGCAAAAATGCCTTGCTAGTGGTAGTTTTCAGATAACTGAAAAATAGTGTTTTGTAGCTAAGTATTTGATATATCAAATAACATTATCTTTGTATCCCTTGTAGTGTCCATGAAACAAATAGGAGGCATTACTTTCACAGCAACATATCTATATGTCATTTCATAATTGTGTATATACTTGAGAGTGGACCTATTTGTACAAATTTAAACCAGGTTCTGAGTACATGTATTTGAATACCTGCAGAGCACTCCCAGAATCATGCAGGTACAATTTCACTGAATTGGAAAAAACAAGAATCATTTCAGTTGGAAGGGACTTTTAAAAGCCATCTAGTTCAACACTCCTGCAATGAACAGGAACACCTACAGCTAGATCAGGAGCTCAGAGTCCCATCCAGCCTGACTTTGAATGCCCCCAGGAATTGGGCTTCCACCACTTCTCTTGGCAACTTGTTCCATTGCCTCCCTACCCTTTTTGTAAAAAAACCTTTTCCTTCTATCCAATCTAAATCTCCCCTCATTTAGCTTGAAACCATTTCCCCTTGTCCACAAACGCTCTGCTCATTGAGGAAAATCTATGTCCAACAAAAATGCATTCAACAACAATTTTTGAAGGCACGGAGACCTTCCTAAAAGGCCCCTTTACTCAGGCATGTTAGTAAAGCATGTGGCTGCTTTATTTTAGAACCTTCCAACTCCATAAATGGAATTTAAGTATAATCAGAAGAGAGCAATAAAACACACTGACCTGAATTTGCTGCTGCAGTAGATTGATTTTGTGCTGCTGTTGCAGAAGTTGCTGCTGTTGTCTTGCAATCTATGAGAAATAAAATTTTCATTAAATTAAAACAGTAATATTGAAATTTCAATATTATTGAGTGAAATTTTTTTCTGATATTTTTTACTTCGTTTTTATCAAGGATCAGTATTTTTTTCCTTAAATGAAATACATTATGGAGATAGCTGTGCATGTGGTATAAACATTTTTAACTTAAAAGCAACGTGGAAGTGTAGCTATCCTGCAAGAAAAATGTATTTTAAGCACTTAGACCTCAAATCAGGAAAGCATAAAAACACAGGTTTAGCTGTGTGCATGTGAATAATCTCATCGCTATTCAACAAAGCGTTTAAGCCTGTGGTGAACTTTGTCTATGATGCATTACCTTTAACTACAATGGGAATGAAACACATGCTTAAAATTAAGTGCTTTGCTGAATGGGAATGGGATTACTCAGGTGCTTAAGGTTAAACACACATTTTCCTGCTTTGCTGAACTGAAGCCGTAGCTAGTATTTATAGATGTTTCACTATTCAGCACAAGATCCTAGGGCAAGCTTCTCTTAACTTCATTCACAGTGAGCAGCACATTGCTTCCCTTACGAATCTCAAAGTCCTCCTTGAGACTACTCAAGGAAGTAGGGTCTTACACAGTATAAAAGAAGCATTTGGTGCTCAGTAGGTCATCCTCAACACAACACTGTGAAATAAGTACATATTCCCAGTCTCAGTAGATTCAGTGAATGATCTTGAGAGTAAAGGTTCAATATATATCTAAGAGGAGAGAAGCAAGCATGGGGGAGAACAAAGACTCATGAGAGATGCTGCCCTGCCCTGACTGTTCCTAATCACCCTCCAAAATCAGCATGCAAAGGCAGAAGGGGAAGGGAATCTTTCCCTCAGAGCTGCTCCTTGTGATGGGTTAGGCAGCTTGCAGCTACATGGGAAAGCCATGGGAAGTGGGGGAAACTGAACAGCTGCTTTAGGAGGCAAACTGCACAGCAGACTGTAACAAGGACAAGATTTGTGTTTCCTAGAAGCTCCAGCTTCAGCACTTCTGCTTTCATTTCTCAAATATAATTTCCTCTCCTATCAATATTTATCTAGAGCTGAAGAACCCCATAAAACAGCACAAATTTGGTGGCACTACGAGTTTGATCACTCAAGTTCACTGTTTCCATTATGGCAAAACCTCAAGCACGCTCTGTTGTAAACAGAGAAAGCTAAACAAAATATTTTTATTATTAAAAAAAAAAAAGTGAATGAAAGGTAGCAAGATTGATTTGGAAATAAACAATCATGTAGTCTTAGTGCAAAGTAGTTGCACGTAGTGCAAACCATTCAGAATAACTCATAAGGAACCTGCAGGTACATATTAGAGGCTCATAAGTGCTCACAGAGATCAAGTCTGTCATTTCCTTCATCTCTCACTTTTTCACCTGGAAATAGCTCTGTCATTTTTTCCACTGCTACAGTTGAAACTCACTTTTGTATGGGGGACCAACAAAAAATCCATACATTCTAAGTCTTGCACATGGCCTCAAAGAAACAACCTGAGTTCTCTGATTCTGGGACTGGATCAAAGCAAAGTGCACCACAAAAGGAATCAAGCAACTATCAAAGCCCAGAACAATGATGCCTGCAACAGGGATCAAATTCCCTTTGGAGTTTGTTCGGTGGTCAAATATTTCTGGACCAATCTCCCAGTAAATACAATAAAATTATGGTGAATACAGACTGAAAAATCAGGCCCTGGTCTGTTAGTTAAAAAGGCAGCTCAAACAGAGGTTGCCTGAGTGCCCAGAGGGCAGATCTTAGCACCTCAGATCATCTGTTATCAGTGGTCTGCAGTGGCGTCTGCACTTGGAAAAGCAGCCCTGTGCTACAAATACTTATGTATATTTAACAAACCTATGCGAGTGCCTGCGTTACTATTTTAATTAGTAATACATCAATTGTGCTATTACACATTTGGACTATGTTGCTCATCACTAAAGATGAGTTCTGCCGGGTTTCCGCTCACAGTGTAGCACATTCCTGGCTAAAATGTCAGTGAAGGTATTTGAAGAATTATTATTATGATACTGAGTTCCAGAAAGGAATTTCTTGTAGTTTCATATTGAAATCAGACACTGAATGGAGCTGCATCATCAGTCATTCTTTCTGACATATCTATTTCCACAGGTTCACAGTGCTCTATGTCAAGGCTTGTTTGGAGCTGCTGGTGACCCAACTGCTACTTCACGTTGTAAGCTATAGGCAAGGCAACAGTGAGACCTTTGTTTACATACGCAAAGGCACTGACTTGCTACAGTTCTTGATTGCCTGTGAACAGATTTTGTAGTTGTATGTACAATATAATACCATTTAAACAGGCGTTTCCTGAAAAAATGCAGAAAAATACCACGAAGCATCTCATCTCAATGGTTCCTCTCAGAACAGCACTGCAATGGAAAATGTATCCAGTATCCCACAATGCAATTTACCATAGCAGAATCTTGATATATAGACTTGACACAGTAAAGTAGGGTACACAAGCACCATGTGGCTCAAATTCTGAATTTTATTTGCCTATCGGTTGAGCTACATGCTTGCTTCATTGAGCATGACAACCTAGTTTTAAGTGTCATTTAATTTTCATTTTGAAATATAATTACAAAGTGTTCACTGTAAGATATCACTCGTCTGCAAATGTGTCAAGATTAATTTGTGCTAGCTTATTCACAAGTGTCAATAGTTAATTACTGTGTCATCTCTGGATGGCTAAATGACATTCTAACTTCTGATTTTTTACAGTGTTCCTTTATGTTATTTTCCATTAGGGGATGAGTCCATATTCCTACATGTGGGCAAATACTCAAGCACATAAAATACGAGACGTCACAACTCATTAAAATCAACAGAGCATATATTGCTGCATATATCCTATAAAATACTTTTAACTGAAAAGATGATTCTAGTAATAATGTCAGATTCCTAAAAATCACACATTCATTTGGATCTGTCTGATCTAATGCCTAGGGGACTACTGTATGGGACCACTGTTGTTCCACTTGTGAGAAAAGGAGAGATCTTTGGCCAATGGATTTCTTTAAATAAATAAATAAATAATAAACCAACAAAAAAACAGCATGCAAACAAACAAACCAAATGTTGCTTATAAGGTGTATCTCATGAAGTTTTGGCATTACATTTTTCCGTCCAATTCTTTTCTTGTCAAAAAGAGAAACAGTCAAATAATACCTACAGTGTGGCTCATTGGTGACTCCTAAATCACTTCTCAGTACAGAAGTAAGAACTGTGAAATCTATCAAATTCAATTTGTTCTAAGAATGAAATCATTTGAATTTCCATGCCCTCCTTTCTCTTAGGATTCTGCAATATTTTTTCTCTTCATGGAAAAAGCAACAATTTCTGAAGATATATAAGGTCTTTTAACAACGACAGCAACAACAAAAAAAAAAAAAAAGAAAAAAGGAAAGACAGAGCAGAACAATATAGCAGTATTTATGTTTAGCATTCTACATGAACCATTTTCACATTTTCACAGGTTTTCACAGGTTTCTTTTTTGGATCCTCACCTGTTCTTGCTGTTGGCGAGCAAGATCCATTTGCTGTCGTTGTTTTTCAATTTGTGAGGCTGCCAGCTTTTTCTGTTCATCATGGGCAGCCAGGAGCTGCTCCCGTAAGCTGATCAGCTGGGTGATCATGGTTGAGAGCTGTCGCTCTTTTTCTGCCAGGCTTTCTGGTGTACCTAAATGTGCAGAAAAAATGTACTGTAAATATGAGATAGACGAGAGTTACCAAGTAATATTCACAAAAGAACTGGCGGAATCACCAACGTGCTTATTTCAAGTGGCAGCTTGAATATATATTTTACTAAAAAATCCCCAAAGAATGTAGCACATAGCTTTGCTATGCCCTTAGAAGTGGAGGACATAACAAAAACAGAAGCAAAAAGATAGAGTATTAATTTTTTTTTTTTTCTAGCAGGAGAAATTAATGATGCAATATGTACAAATCCCTATCTCTTTCCATCTAAATCTGCCCAGTGTGATAAATACATTCAGAGTTTATTAGATATAATTTTCCTTCACTTTATATATTTTGTTATGTTGTTTTTTTCCCTAACTATGCAAGAATGCAAAAGAAAATTTTAAAGGCTGCTGTTCCATCGAAGAAGCAGTTTAATAGTTTATTGATCATTTCTCTGAAATGCCCATATATCTGGCAGGTCATTTGGGTAAATGTAAGCTTTAGTTATGGAATATGTATTTAAAATGAGCTCTACTTGTCCCTAAGAGAAATGGCTAACCTGAGAAAACGGCTTAAAAATTTTCATTTAACTTTCAAAGTTTACTCTATAGAGAGCGCTTAATTAATACGAAACTACGGTACATTTATTCTTTGCGCTAATGATGCTTAATGGTCTGTTTATGGGTAAATTGCATGGGTCTCCTAAGTAAAGAGTACAGGGTCCTTTTGCAAATCAATGCAAAAATATCCCATCTTACATATGAACATGTTACTCTGTCACAAACAGCAATGTCAGCTCCCATATTTGAGCCGTACACTGCATTACCCTGTGCGAGCTTCTCAAGACTCCCAGCACTATAAGAAGCTGAGGCAGCAGTTTGGGAATATGGGAAGAGCATATGAAGGAGGTTCACGGTTGGAAAGGACATAAATGAACCAATTGTAAGTTGTACAGGAGAATTGAAAGTTAGAGAAGAAGCTAAGCAAATTGAGAAGTAGTCAAGCCTGTTATCTGCCACAATGATAGGAGAAGCAGCATAAGAGAGAGGGTATTAGCATCCTTCCTTTCCTCCATTCACAATTGTGATAAGGAATTTACAGGGCTTTCTGAAGAGGAAGAAAATGTGTGAGGAACAGGACCTGGGAGGAAATGGAGAAACTGTCACCAAAATTATGACTCCACCTTCTTCCCAGGAGTAAGATGGGTATCTTCTAGGGAAGAGAAGAAAGAGGTTGACAGGTTTCATAAGGAGAGGGAAAACAAGACAGACTCTTGCTAAGCAGGTCACAAACCCAAGATGCTCTACCATTTCTGGTCTTAGACAAGCTTTCCTTTGCACAAGTGTCACACAAATAGCCTCTGTCTACACTTGCCTTCTATCAAAAGATGGCTAAACTCATTCACTGTAAACAATCAAAGTCACAGATACAAAAAGTACTTGTTTTTCTGTACAGTTGTTAATTGCATTTTACTATATAAAGTACTGAAAATATTCAATGTCTTAGACACAATTAACTATCCTAGTTTTAAGTCTGCTACATATTAATGTTTCCGCATTCCATAATGCTAAATCTTATCTCAATATGCATGTGACAAAGGTTTCTGATAGGGAAACACAAGTAACTTCTCATGTTGCAGTGAAAGTTTTAGAAATGGTTAGCACTTTTTTTTAGTCCTTGAAATACAATGGCTGCATGAAGTTAAAACTGCAGGACACTCAAATATTCAAGCTTACTGCAAATCCTTAGGATGACACATACAACTGAAACAAGAAAAGAATATTTCTGCAAAAAGCTGTTTCAGAGCAAACTTTAAAAAGATTTTAAAAGTAAGTCTAGGCAGGTACCTGGCTGGGAAAATCACAGAATCACAGAATTGTAGGGGTTGGAAGGGACCTCCAGAGATCATCGAGTCCAACCCCCCTGCCAAAGCAGGTTCCCTACAGCAGGTCGCACAGGTAGGCATCCAGGCAGGTCCTGAACATCTCCAGAGAAGGAGACTCCACCACCTCCCTGGGCAGCCTGTTCCAGTGCTCCGTCACCTCACTGTAAAGAAGTTCTTGTGCACATCTGTGTGGAACTTCCTATGCTGCAGTTTCCAGCCGTTTCCCCTTGTCCTGTCTCCATTCACCACTTGAAAGAGTCCAGCCTCACCATTCTGCCCCCCAAACCTTAGATATTTATAGACCTGGATCAGGTCCCCTCTCAGCCTTCTTTCCTCAAGGCTGAACAGACCCAGTTCACTCAGCCTTTCTTCATAGGAGAGATGCTCCATGTTCTTCACCATCTTTGTGGCCCTCTGCTGGACTCTTTCCAAGAGATCCTTGTCTTTTTTGTACTGGGGAGCCCAGAACTGGACGCAGTGCTCCAGATGAGGCCTCACCAGGGCAGAGTAGAGGGGGAGGATCACCTCCCTCGACCTGCTGGCCACGCTCTTTGCAATGCACCCCAGGATGCCATTGGCCCTCTTGGCCACAAGGGCACACTGCTGGCTCATGGCCAACCTGTCATCCACCTGGACACCCAGGTCCCTTTCCGCAGAGCTCCCTTCCAGCAGGTCATCCCCCAACCTGTACTGGTGCATGGAATTATTCCTCCCCAGATGCAAGACTCTACACTTGCTTTTGTTAAACCTCATCCAGTTTTTTTTTGCCCAGCTCTCCAGCCTATCCAGGTCTTGCTGAATGGCAGCACAGCCTTCAGGCGTGTCAGCCAATCCTCCCAACTTCGTATCAGCAAACTTGCTGAGACCAGACCCAGCACAGACCCCTGAAGAACACCGCTGCTTACAGGCCTCCAGCCGGACTCTGCACCACCACCAACAACCCTCTGTGCTCTGCCAGTCAGCCGGTTCTGGAAAAATATCTGTATAGAATATATTGCCTTGCCAGGATCCATTAGCCTGTACTGAGCTCCATGCTGTTGACATCATTTTGATTGTCTAGGACTTCTGCACTGACTAGCATTAACCACCTTACACTCTAACTTGATTTAGTCTTGAATATTTTGCAACACGAATGAAAGGTTAGTTAGGTGCTTTGGAATACGTTATAGTACACTGACATTTATTTTTATAGATAAAGGACTGTTCTGCCAAAAAAACCCTACTTGTCCATTATGGCAGGAAGAGATCAATCAGTCCGCCTATTTTAGAAAGCCAATAGGAAGTAACCTGCTGCCTCAAATGATACTTATTGCCATTCACTGCCACCTGGGAAACCACAGCTCGAGACTTTCACATCTGTCAAGCAGCTCTGGCATTGTAATGCAGACCTCTGATTTTTACAGTCATAAAATACTTTACACACCCAAAGCAGATATGCATCTCCTGCTCTGTTTCTATCTTATCCTGTATGCTTTGTATACTCTCTGTTTGCTTCATAACATCAGCAGAAAGGTACCACAAAGAGAGCCTGTTAAGGCTATGATATTTTGTTGTTTTGTTATGATTAGTCAGAACTGTTTGATATAGTTGCAGCACATTTATAAAGTCATTTCATTATTATTATTATTTTAATTTTATACAATAGAGAACATAAATAACTTTCTATTCAGAAACTCATAGTAATTGTTTTTCTTTCTTTTTTTTTTCCCCCCTCAGAGAAACACATCTAAAATGAACAACCCCCTTTAAAACACTCTACTCTTTAATTTGCACTGTGCTATGTGATCCAACAACAGGGTAGGACTGATGACCGCAGAAAGTACACTGTGCTTCTGGAAAATAAGGAGACCTCCATGAAGCTGCACGACACCTAACCAAACACGGCTCAGGACAGGAAAAAGCGAAAAAGCGCAAGATGCAGCATGTTGTTGTATGACGAGAGTAGGGGGAGGTATAATTTAATTTTAGAGTGGAAAATCCCAACCATTATTTTACAGTTTAAATACCAATAAAAGCAACTTGCTCAGAATGCAGACCAGATTGAGCTGATCTGGCTGGGCCAAGAGAGGTCATCAGTAGCTGTGTGCCATCATCATCTGTTTTGCATCCACTTACTGCAGTAAGCAATGAGATTCCTAAACTCATTACCAGTAAATAAACTTCTTCTGCTGACTAAAAAATACCTATAAATAAAATAAAGTATAGCTCTCTGTAAAATGTATTTGCCATAAAAACAGATAAAACAAAAAGCTTAGTAAAAAATATACAGTAAATATGCCAGCATCCACAAAATATTATATATCACAGCTCTCTCTTTTCTAATCCTATTCTCCTGCTCCAAAGACAGCAGTGCTTTTTTTTTTTTTTTTTTTCCATGGGGTCTTCCTTATCCCCAAAACACATCTGTCTTGAGTTTCTCTCAGATTTGTCAGGTGGATCAGTGCTCCCCAGGGCCTGCTCCATCTGAAGTATTTTAATTTGACTAAACACCTGATTTATTTTATCTCTCCGATGAGAAAGGCAGTTTGTCTTAATAGAGCCTGTCAGCCTACAGTCCCATTCACAGCAATTTACAGGCAGCCAGGGATGCTGGAAAAGAAGAGTGCTGTGATTCTGTATTTTATCCTCCTCCAGAAAGCACCTAAAAGCAGCTATTCACTGCTACTGCATGTGGCATTTTAGAACTGAATTAGCTTTTTATTCAAGTAACTACACTAGTTGTGAATAGCTTATCTGTAAAATTGCTACATTCATTACTGATTTTATTAACCTTTGGCTCTATCGCAAAATGGTCTTCAGTTAGGAAAGACCTTTAAATTTGACACATTTTTCTTAGGGGTCTTTATTTCAGTGACTTCAGATAAACTGAATTTGATCCATTGACTCCCCTCACCAGCACTATTTAAAAATTTGTGTTGTTGAGAAGTCGATAGTGTTCAAAGACTTTTTGTAAAACTGCAAATATAACAATTACTTTCACCACAAGTTCTGAGGAAAAAAAATGGTCTTTTATTTGTGATAGTTCTTTGGATGTATATTCTTGACTTCATGCTTATTGTCACAAGCTCCAAAAATAATGCAATTTTAATTTTTCAGTAGGTTATTATTGTTTT